TAACTGAGTATGAAGAGGACTGTCTCTTACCAAAAATATAGTATAGTATAGTTGGGATGCACCAATCCAGCTTTTTCAGTTGCTATACCGATTTTGATACTACAGCTTTAAGTAACTGCAGAATTTATTTAATTTTAAATAAACTAAAATAAAACAAAACTGATCCAGATGTGTTATGTTGCTGTTATTTATCACTCAAGAAATACAGAACAATTTTGTATGGAAAAAAAGTTCAAACTTTCTGAGACTTTCTGAACCGACTTTGATGAGTAAATAGTAGGGATATAATGATATCCAAATCTCATGTACGATATTATCACGATATGCATCTCACGGTACGATATTTATTGCGATATTTTGAAGAGGCTGATATAATTGGAAATGGGACACTTTTTAGCTTTAAAAATGCCTTGACAAGATTTTGGTGTGAATTATTTCCATCATAATCCCAAGAATTCAAGTAAAAAACATCTTTTCATGTTGTTTGCACTGAAATGAATCATGGGATATGTAGTTTATAAGCTGTTGCTACTATAAAACCATGCACTTAAGCAAAGGAACTTGTGATTCGTTATATTGTGATGCCCCACGATATTATTGTGAGACTTTTGATGATACAATATCATGATATTTCAATTATTGTCACATCCCTATTAAACATTGTTATGACCTAGATCAGGGGTCTCCAACCTTTTTTCCTTTGGTGAGCTAACTTTACTAAAGAAAAATGCCAGAGAGCTACTCATTTTAGTAGCTGCAAGAAATTGAGACGATTATAAGAAAGAGGGCAAGCTTTTGGGTACAGTTAAAGAGCTATAAAACATAAACCATTGTCCATTTATTAGTGTAGTTTTGGTATTCCGCACAATGGTCTAATTCAGAAATTCCTTGGAGTGCTACTTGGAAGGGGGTGGAGCGCTTCTTGTTTCTCCCGAGCTACAGGTTGGAGACCCATGACCTAAATATATATGTATATGTCCAACCAGAATATTGACTGAACCGGTATTTGAACACCGATATCTGATCTGTATTGGGGCCCAGTATCAGATCGGTGCATCCCTAGTATATTCTTAGAAATAATATGGACCCAGCCCTGCCAAAAGCACTGATCCTGGTTACCCCCTGCTATTCGTACCCTATTAGCATGCTATTACTGCGCTGTAAAGTGCGACCTCTCGGCACTCGTGAACCAAAATGGACACATGCATTTTCACGCACACGCTCACTTGCTTTCGTGTCTAAGTTTATAAGTGCAATTTTATGAGGAGTGATAAACTTTCTTATACAGATCTAGTAACCACATCATACGACCCAATGCAACCCCCCAGTCACAGTGCACACATGGGCTGAATGACAATATATAAACGTCTGTTACATCATAGAGCGAGTGTGTAGGACAATGTCAAATAGAGCTGTGATCTGACCCCATCATGAGATCTTTATAGTGTAATGTAGGTAGGTTTAATCAACTTAAGGCAAACATGAGAAATGGAAATGAATTGTGATAAAAAATCAACATTGTGACCAGTACAAAGGCCTTTTTTTTTTTTTTTTTTTTTTCCATATTGCTCACTTCCACTTTTTGTGAATCAGAGGCTGCAATTCTAATGACACTTATGACAATCAGGCATAACATTATGACCTCCGAACATTTTGACTGCCACGCCCTACAAAGGTAAAAGACTACAAGTCTCACGATATGATATCGTCAAGGTATGAACCTCAAGGTACGATATTTATTGCGATATCGTTGGAAAGCTCACGATATGATGGGGAGGCTCATGATTAGAGATGTAACAAAATCCAAATCTCTCTGTACGATATTTTCTCGATACACATTTCACGGTACGATATTTATTGCGATATTATGTGTAGGTTAACAAAACTGTGAATATGCTACTTTTTTTCTCTTAAAATGCCTTGACAAGACTTAATCCAAAGAACTAAAACTTTAAAGTGCTTCGAACTGTTATTTCTTCTTGTAGTCAGCACTGAAATGGAGCAAAGGATCATGGTCTATGTAGTTCCCACTGTCTTTTTTTTAGCTATTGCTGCACTGTAACTCTTAATTTATGCAAAGAGACTTGTAATTCGATATATTGTGATGGTCCACGATATTATTGTGAGAACTTTGATGATACGATATCACGATATTTCGGTTATTGTTACATCCCTACAAAAGACCTTAACTCGCCATAATGAATGAATGCTATAATGAAGAAATATTTGAATGTGAAAAATTTTGAGCTCAATATTTTTCACAATATTTATTCACATGATGGAGGAGGTCTCAAATACCTCCAAAATGACATCAGCTCATTTTTTACCAAACATGATGTTACTGCCTTCTGCCTTTGTAGAGCGTTACCAGTCTCTTGTTATTTCTGCTAATTATTTTTTAAAATGTATTATTACCTTTTATATTTTTTGCTCTTTTTTATTATAATATATTGTGATCTGTGAGCTCCTGTGTCCAAGTAATTTCCCTCGTGGACCAATAAAGTTTGTCTAGTCTAAGTCTAAATACTGTGGCAACGAGTTTTGACTCACACTCGCCACAATTTGAACCTTAAATTTGGTAATTCCAGATGTATTTCTATTTTTCTTGCTTCAATCACAGAGGAATAATATTCACTTGATGCAGTATAAACCCAATAACATGCCTATCATCTGTCATTGGTCATAATTTTATACTTGATGTGGGTGCCAATTTGATTTGCGTTTGAGTTGAGAGAGAAATAACACTGTGATGGAAGTGAAAAATAACAAATCACTCTTCATAATCACATTTTTCTTTCTTAAAAAAATGAACAAACAAACAGAATCTCAGCCCAAGTAGCACAGTTTTCCCCCATCAGTTCAACCAAATATACACCACAACAACATAACAAACCAGATAAAAAAAACACAACCACAACAAAACTGCAATTCAAGTTTGCCAAAAATGCTTACATCGACGTTTCACCTTCTCGGCACAAGAGCGTTACCATCCTTCGTCTTTTTCTTCTTTTCGAACATTTACAATAGATTTTCTTCAACATGCCGGTGGGTGTTTCACAGTCATTCAAAACCCTTACCATCGCCTTCATTTTATCATTGTCAGCTACTATGGTAAGCTGGCTATGCCCTCCTGGGGTCCGTCAGTGCCCAGATCGGGAAGCCATGGTAAGGTGCTAGTTGCTATGGAAACGGCTATCCAGATGGTACAGCTGTTGTTTTTGAAGTTTGATGTCTCCTACCTCGCCGCCGTGAGTTTTGTAAGTTTTTCTTGTTGCTTTTGTTTAGATTTTTTGATATTTTCAGATAAGATGGAGATGCTAACAGGCACGCATGACGTAGAAACTTCTCATTCGGACAAATACACGTAGTATTAGAGTGCACCCATACGTTACATGGTGTGAGAAGTGATTTCACATAATAGTCTAGTACACTGACTGTACACCACTTTGAATGAAGAGTTATGTCTTTCTGCTCCCAACAAACATAAGAATTCCTTTATTTTCTGTGTTTTTGAGAAGGCGAAGTCGGTATTGCTGAGTATATCCATGGCTCCTCTCCTAGCCCCCCTCCGCCATGTGCTTCGATAACCTCAGAAATGACAGGAATAAAACAATAACATAATAACATAAAGGTCCTATATTATGCTGAACAGACTTTTAGCTTTTAGCCACATTAAAATATACAAGAGAATAGGCTGTCAATCTTCTCCAGCTCTGAAAATCCGCGGTTCCACCTTGTGACATCATTAATACTCCTGGAAATGCTTCTCCGTGTTTTTAAAGTCCATACCCCAACTCTAAAGTCCATATATATCGTCACCATTCTCTTCAAAACTCAAATGACCTTCAACAAGATGCATCTCTTCAATCAATTTGGAAGATGACAGCTATTGTTTGAAACCTAATTTTAACTTTCACACTGCATCGTGTTCATTCAAGAAACATCGCTGATTTACTTATTATTTTAAGTGATATGACAATGGCAACTGGCAATCTGATTTCTTTTGTCTGATTAAAAACAAAACAAAACAAAACAAAAAACTTTCAATGTTAATTTTTGTTGGACAAAACAATACAGACTTTTAAACACAGTAATTTAAGTCAATTTACTTCCTCTTCAGTCCAACCACATTTTCCTGATTGTTTTTAGACCCAAGCATATCATTGTCAAATCTTAAAACATAATATAGGACCTTTAACAAGATGGCACATTAAAATCTCTTACACAAACGATTGGTTGATTAAATGCTTTATATGTTGCCCCAGAACCCGTCCAGTCCGTGTCTTTCCTTCTCGACGATTTGACGATGCCCACGGGATGCCAAAGCAGTGCGGATATGACAACTAAAACTGGCGTTGTACTTCCAGGGATGTGTGTTTTTCATCTAAAAGCTACTTTGATCATACACAACCAGAACTGTTCGGCATCTGGTCCCTTATGTCTTTAGACTGGGCTTGTTGCTTTCGCCCAGCCACAAAATGAACACAAAAAGGCCATTTCGATTCACTTTAGTTCTGTTTGAAGTTTTGTTGCAGGAAACTATGGCAACTAGCCCTAAGGAGATGTGTACAGCCAATCAGATCCGTGGAAAAAGTCTTCGAATGATTTCCAATTAGGTGGGTGGATTTTAGAGTTTCTTTTGTTTTTTGATTTCGTCTGCGCCGCTCTTGCCGTTTAAATGCTTTGTGTACAGGATCAAACAGGCTGGACTCGTGGCCTGTTTTGACACCTGTTGTTTTGACTGACTTAAGCACGATATAGTTCAGCTTTTGTCAGTCACTGCCTTAAGGCTTATAGCTCACACACCCATCACTCACGCACATTCATACTATTAGAAAACTTCAATCATTTTGGTCTTCTGGTCCCTCGCTCTCCCCTCTCCCCTCGCTTTGCCTCGTCTTCGTCTTTCTTCTCGTCCCCCATGCCCCCTGTCCTGCGCCCGGACGCTGCACCTGGCCCCGGGGCGAGTTGGCATGGCGACACCGGCGGCGGGGTCGTCGCTAGGAGACGAAGAGAGCGGCGAGCAGGAGCATCGTGACCGTGAGGAGGAGGCGGTCACGGGACGGACTGCTGCCGCTCACGCTCTTCTCCAGCTTCGGTACAAACGTGTTGTAATCGTCTGGAAATGAAAACAAACAAGTATTAATAAAAATAAAAAGGTGAAGCCGAGGTCAAGGTTTATTTATATACCACAAGGCAGACATTACTCTTACCCTCAAGTGTTTTATTTTTAGATTAGATTTGAGATAAATCCAGAATATGAATAAAACAAGACAACAAGATATTACAAAAGAAAACACAAATGAAAAATAAACTATAAAAATCAGACTGAATTAAAAGTAAAAATATGAATTAATAAAAAAGGACAAGTAGGTTCAAGCTGCAGACAAACTTTTAAGAACAAAACTACTCAAACAACTTCAGTCCAGGGTTCAACAATAAAAAGAACAAACATTTAATCGGAAATGAGATTAAAAAATGTATTCCTGGCAACGTTTAACAACATTAAAGAAAACGGTTTCTATTAAAGGTGCAGCATGTAACTTTTTCTTGCTTGTTTCTATGGATATGCCATTGGTCTGCCTGTAATGTTCCACAGTATGACATTAAACAGCTCTACCTTACATTTATTCAATTACAGGTGTTTTTATAGTTCAAAAATACCTAGAAAAAAAACAGGCATTCTGACTGTGTGCGAGGTCGCCTCTCCACAGATCTGCCCTATAACTTGGTCTGGTTTGGTCTCCATGGAGACAGAAAGGTTTAATACCATACTGAAATATTCCAGATGAAGCAAAAAAGATAAGTATTTGACGGACCCTTGACCAGAAATGTTACACAATGCACCTTTAATTCAATAGTAAATTTTAAAAAAGGGAAAGTTTTTTTTTTTGTTTTTTTTTACATTTTCAGATAAGTTTAAAGTTGTTCTTGAGATCAGTTCTACCCTGATATAAGAGCTGAAATCATGTCAAACTTCTGATGCAAACAATAATAAAGTAAACTCCACCCACACTTTCAATTTCGATTCAGTTCACCATTAATTTTGATATTTTGTTAAATTGGCATAACGGGTCTGGTCTATCTTTGCGAAACAATAAGACAGAGCTGTCCAGTAAAGTGCTCTAATTGTGCTGATAAAGTGACACATTGTGCGTCTGACACCCCCTCGCACACACACTGTGCACTGTTACTCCCACTATGAGCCTGTGCATCTGCTGCGGGACCAAAATAACCCTTTTCATTTGTGTTACACTCTGAACAAAAGCACTTACGAGACAGTACCTCACAACACACACACCTCAGCACGCCCAAACTCTGACTCCACAAATGACTAAGACCTATGAACTCACTCTCTGATTACAACTGATAATCATCTGCGGGGCATCCGGGTTAAAACAGGTGGTACTGAAGTAACACTGTTAATTAAAAGCTGCACTATGTAACTTTATTGTAAGACACCTGATTGCCTGGAACGCTGCAGATGTTTTTATTAGTGTAAGGGTCAAGTTAGAGCTTATATACATTAACACACAGTCCATGGCATTTAATAGTAAGGTTGGGCTTTTATTTTGGTGACTTCCTGTGTGAGCTGAAGTTATGATAAAAATTTTAGCTTGGTTTACAGAAGAGACGCAAAGTAAACACAGCAACGTTAATGGTGAAAAACAAAAACAACGGTGAAAAGTTATATAAAAACCTAAAGATAGCAACAGTCGACAGAAGAACAAGCTCTTGTGTTGGTTCTATGACACGGCAAGGAAAAGATTAAAAGTCATTTAACCGTCAGTTCTGGCCTTCTCTATTCGACTGGATGCTACAATTAGTACAGAATACCTTGAAAAACTAACTGTGAGTGGACTCGCCTCTCCACAGACCTGACTTGTAACTTGCCCTGGCGGCATTACGTCCACGTCTCCATGGAAACAGATGAGTTACATGCCACACTGGGCTACATTCTCAAGTATAAGTAACATGAACAAGCAAGAAAGTAAGAAGGAAGTAGTAGTAGTTTATTCAGTCATTTTGCAGCATGACAAAACAAAACAAAGCTACAATCCCACAGATCAGATCAGGGGTGTCCAACTCAAATTCACAGAGGGCCAAAATTAAAAACTAAGTCGTGGGCTAAAAACTAAATATTTATTGAAAAATTTCAACAACATCTGCATGTTTTCTCTTCTATCGAGATATGTAATGTTAAACCTTTTCTTATTAAAATAAATGATTAATAATAGTTTTGCTTAAACACTGAATCCAGAACAAACATAATATTAAATCATAACAAAATAAAATGAAATCAAATAAATAAAATTAAATAACCAATGTCTCTATTGTCTATCTGTAGCCAGCGGGCCAGCTCTAACAAATATTTGATATGGTCTTGTTGGCCAAATATAATTATTTTGCAGGCCAAATTTGATGACCCATGACCGAAAGGGTTTAGGCTGGAATAAAATGTACTTATAAAGCCAAACCCTATTAAACAATGACAGAATTCCACGAAAAAAACTGCGTATGAACAGCAAATTTGCATTTACAATTTCACTTCCAACTTACTGTAAATATAAGAAACAAAATATAAATTAAAACAAACTAAATTTTATACATAATTCATTAATTCCAGAGCTCTGTATCTTTCAAAACATAATGCTTTATACTCTTTTTTAAAGGCTTCTACAGTATTACACTTTTTTCAATCATCACTCAGGTTTTTTTTTAAAGATACTTGTTTTTTTAAAGATACTTGTTCCTCTACTCCTGTAAACCAGAAGGAAACAGATGAAGAAGTATCGTGAGTAACTGGACATGTTTTGATTTCCGATTTATGTTTTAATACCAGGGTTTGTTGTGTTGCGTGAAATTATAATTGCCGTCTTTGTGATTGGCAAATTGTGATCCTTCAAATTACACTTGGGCTTTGACTGTGAAAAACCCTGCTGCCCTAGATGCGGCTACTCTAAGAAGTACGATTAAATTAAAAAAATAATTACTCGAGTAAATGAAGCGCATTACTCCCCAGCACTGGTTAAAAGGGGTTAATCTATGCTCGCCTTTATCTCAGTGGGACATTAGCAGCTGCTGGCGGGTCACACTGTGGGCTAATATCTGTCTGACACCTGGTTTTAAAGATGCTCCTAGCTGCTCCTCCATAGCTCTTCTAATGAGGTCCAAGCTGCAGGTTAAACGCTTTGACCGCTGGGTAACTGAGACTCACACACACACGCACGCGCACGCACACACACACTGCAGACAGGATAAAATCTGGTACAACTGGTTAAAGCTCGTGGATCCGGCTAATAGGGCTATTACAAGTCTGCACACAGAGATCCGCTGTCACGAACTGTCGCACAAACACCATTATACACCGTACAAACAAGTTATAGTGTGAGCGCCGTGCTGTTTCTGGATTTCTATATTTAACGCGACAATAGGTGATTATAGTGAGAATGAAGACTTATTGTGTACAGAATTTATAGCCTGTATTTATCCAGTGCTGCTAAACGTGAACCTACAACTTAGTCTGTTGCGAAACTGTTTCCCAGTTGAGGGCTGGAAGTGAGTTGTGTAAAAGGAGCTGGGCTATTAACACGGCACAGCATCATTTAGTATCAGTAAGAAACTCAACAAATCAATTCTACATGAAAATATTGCTTGTAAACTATTTTAAAACTATTGCATTATTTTCTGATCTATGTTATAATGTTGTTTCCTCGTCCCAAATATATCTGGAGATGTGTTTCTCTGTGGTCCATCTTGTGATGTCATGTGGTAGTACAGGAAGTGCTCCACTGTGTTTTTAAACAAAATACACTTCACTACAATAGACTACAAACCCCAGGGTCTCAAAATGGCCACCCATTCAAGTCAATGGGCCGAGCTCAAAGGCACATGACTCCAGATTAGCCTTTAGCCCGGCGAGGTGCTTCCGGTGGCTGTGGGCTGATTGAGCATGCGCAGTACTGCTCTTTTCTCCCGTGGGCACACGCATGGAGCGCGGTCAGGTGTTTCACGAGATCGCTTTGACCAATCAGAGCGAGCTAGAGCGGAGCTGGAGCTAACGATTATAAAGCATTTTTAAGACAATTGAAGGATTTTGAGCTGAGAAAAAGTTTATGATCTAAAAATAGGTAAAATCACCACAAAATCCAACACTTTTGAAAGTTGTATGAGCAGCTTTTTAATACATTGTGTGAAGAATCCCTCAGTCGTCCAGGTAGAATCCACGGCGAGGAGAAAATTCAGTTTGTCGACTGGACAAAAGTTAGTTTAGTTGAAGACGTTTCGCAGCTCATCCAAGCTGCTTCTTCAGTTCTGGTCAGACGCTGGTGGACACTTCCTTATATCTGCAGGGAGGAGCTAACTACACTGAAACTAACACACACACTTGTTTACAGTTTCTGTTTGTTAGTTCGGCCTATTGACCTGTGCAGGGTGTGGCGTCTAATTAGCATAACAATTCATGGCCATAATGGAGCAGAGAAAATAATTGGTTTGAGAGGGGAGTGAAAGAAGCCATTTTTGTTAAGAAAGGGAATCCTTCTTTAAACAGAAATGGAGGCCTCAGACACCATCTATCTCCTATCTACAACTCCATCCTGAAACCTAAATCAAAATAAACAAGAGAACAACAGGTGTAGCCAGGTTAGGTTCAGAGGTGTGGAAGCTCCATTACAGCCATGAATTGTTATGCTAATTAGACGCCACACCCTGCACAGGTCAATAGGCTGAACTAACTAACAGAAACTGTAAACAAGTGTGTGTGTTAGTTTCAGTGTAGTTAGCTCCTCCCTGCAGATATAAGGAAGTGTCCACCAGCGTCTGACCAGAACTGAAGAAGCAGCTTGGATGAGCTGCGAAACATCTTCAACTAAACTAACTTTTGTCCAGTCGACAAACTGAATTTTCTCCTCACCATTGTGCTCTATGAGAAAAATCCTTTCTCATGCCAGGGGATTTTTTTCCGCTGAAGTACCAGTGAGTGACCACTTCGTCAACTCGAGGCAGCTACAAGCAGCAATACCCTATCCAGTTATTTTAATAGATCCATGATTCACGCTTATGTCGCAAACCAGGAAGACGTTTGGAGACATGTGATGACAACTTCCAGCGGGCTCT